TTCATGCTTCTTCCTTCTTACCTGAGATTATCAGGACAAATGAGCCCTCCTTATCCCTAAGTTACGGTAGTCAATTTGCCGAGTTCCTTTATGATTGTTAGCTCATTTACGCCTTCGTATTCTACACTAGCTTACTTGTCACAGTTTCTAGGTACGGTTATTTTTTCATCAATATTAACTCATCTTTTTAGTTTGTTGTATAATATTAATATATTACTTATTTTTTCCAGCGCACTTTTCACTTTAAAAATGTTGTCCTTTAAGTAATAAGATTTTCTCATCGTTTCAACCTTTGGGATTGTAAACTTAGAGGCCGTTACTTTAAATAAACCATAAGCTTTAGGCGAGCGCTCGATTAGAAATTAATCCAACCGAACTTCTTTTTTGTTACTCATGTCACCATTCTCTCTTGAGTATACTGAGGGTAAAGTATTTTATATTTTACTTTAACACTGTCACATCTATTAAAAAAATAATAAAAATGTTGCAGGTTTACTCAATGTTCTGCTACCCCAGTAAATGACAATAATAAATTTATTATTATCAATTATGGACAAGGTATCGGTATATTATTTAAATCCGTTAAATTTTAGATGCCTTTAAAAATTAACAAGCGCTCTGTTACGAGATCTTCGAATTATGGCTGCTTCTATGCCCATCTTCTTGTCGACTTGAATAAAAACTTTCTTAATTTCACTTAATAATAATTTCGGAACCTTAACTCTTGTTCTGGGCTGTTTCCCTTTTGACATACAACCTTATCATTCTATGTCTGATAATTCAAGATTCATCTTTGCCATTCCGAGTCTACATACTCACCGATAAAGTCTCTACGACCCCCCGATATGTACAAACTAAAATGTAGATTTATTTAAAAGTCTATTACAACTTTTAAACAAATTTTAAACATCTTGCCTGAGATTAAGTTCTGTACCTGCTAAGATGTTACTTAAATTGCCTATTATTATAGGTTTCGCAGAAAACCAGCTATCTAGGTCAGTTTTGTCTTTCACTATACTTACCATAGTTCTTCGGATATCTTTGCTACGATAACCCGTTCGGACTTTTATAATCCTGACTATAGTAAGATCACCTAGCTTCCGGTCTAACTTTAGACACTAATTCATTTTTGATCATCGGTTTAACTACGCAAATTGCTCGCATCTAATGTTAACTTGGTGACCCATTATGCAAAAGGTACGCTCTTGCCTTAGCTCGAGCTGCTTATAAAACTACTATTTCAACCCGTTCCCTCACGGTACTTATTCACTGTCGCTTATGTATTATATTTAGCCTTAGAGGAAGGTTCCCCTTAATATTTAAACAGATTTGTGCCCATTTTACTTATTAATATACTATGTTTAGTATATAGGCTACTCTACTTTCATTCACACTAATTGTAGAATCTCGTTTGATTTCTTTTCCTGAAGCTACTAAGATATTTCAATTCGCCTTCGTTTATTATTTAATTTCTCTAAGAGTTTATATGTATATTTATTAGTACATAACTTTTTTAATATTTTATCGCTCTTTAATACATAGCTCCTTACAGGGATCCCTAATAGTCTCTTTGTATACTTATTTATATATAATATAAATATTTTTCTATATCTAGTACACTATATCACTATAAATTTGGGGTTTCGGATTATTACGATTCGAACGTAACTAGTTCCCAACCCAAATGAGACGCCTAACCTACCCGGCCCTAATCCGTATATATATATATCCTTTATATATTAATTATTAATATAATTTTATATTATGTATTTATTTTTGAATAAAGATAAATCTTATTCTATTAAATACTTTATTCCTAATTTTAATATAGATATATTAAATTGTCAAATTTACTTATGAATTTAATTCAGAGAATATCCGATTCGAACGGATGTGACCTATTTAGGCCAAATAAGACTCAAGCTTACCATCTTAAACCACTCGATCAATTCTCTTTACATTTTTTTTTATTGTTATAATTATTGCACCTACTTAATATATATACTATTTGTTATAATTTTTATTAGGTATTTATTTTTGAATAAAGCTATAGCTCTATTAAACTAAGTTATTTATAGGGTTATTCTGAACTCAATAATTATTATTAAGATCAATCCCCATGCTGGGGGAAAGTAGCCCCAGTCATTGCCCTTATGAGGTAAATTATATGTAATATATTTATCAGGGTTGTAATTAGTATAATAAAAATTATTAGGGTTAGCTTAAAATCCTGGAACTTCACCAGAATTCTTACTGCTGTGGCTATTCCTTCAGGATAAGCACGTGAACATAATATTTTTGGACTAAACATTTTCGGATGTTTTATCTAATCAAGTTTAACAAGAACCATCGTTATTCTCAGTACTAGCTACTGTAGATCTAAATTTGCCATAGTTATAATTTAACTCCTCCCCCTTGTGGTCGATATCTATCAATATAAAGTATATATGCTATAACTATACTAAGAAATACTATTAAAAATAATATTAAATATAACACGAAATTTTCACTATTTAACGTTGAATTAATTATACTATTAACTAATGTTAAATATTTTATTAATATAATTATAAAAAAGTGCTATACTTTCTAATATATATATGTTCTATAACTATTTGTATAGGTTTCGTATATAATAAATAAATTATTCATATTTATATTTAAGTTTGTTTGCCTTCGTAAAGGATAAATTACAAGAGTACTCAGACTCGAACTGAGAAATTGGAGGTTGAAGCTCCCTATTTTACCATTAAACTATACTCTTAAAAAAGCATATTTTTCGGAAAAGAGATGATTCGAACACCCATGTGTAATTAACACAATATTTAGCCAATATTTTACCCTACCTATAACAACTTTTCCTTCACTAATTCTTTCAAGACTTGAACTTGAATATCATTCTTATCAAAAATGCATTTTACCTGTTAAACTAAAGAATCTTATATTTATATTATATAAAAAAAAAAATTTTTTTAATATATATTACTTTCCTTAAACACATATAGAAATACATTTAACCAGATCATATTAAGGATTAATTTAATATTAATCCTTCTCTTACTAAACTTGACATTCCATGGCCTATATTTACAAGATCTGTTTGACTAGTTAAAAGGGTTATGTATTTACAGTTAAATTATTATTAGTGGCGTCTTGATATAAATTTATTCTAGTTAGATTGTAACTAACCCCTTCGCTTACTTTACCGGAGGTCAGAAGTAAACATAGGATAATAATACTCCCTTCATTAGTTTTAAAATATAATTCTTTAGTACCATGCGTTAAAGGATTGTATAGTACATATACGGAACACCTTTTCACGTATATTTTAGTATAATTTATACTAAAAAATTTAGTATTGTAGCATTTAATATTAATATTAATGATTCTCAGTTTATATAAGATCCAGGAAAGAATCAACTAAGTAATAAACAAACATTTATTAAAAATGTTCGCGTAAAAACTAATAAAAGTCATCTTAAGACTAAATATAATAAAAAGCATTTTATTTTATTAAAATTTAAATATAAATTTAATAATTTCTTACTTCATATTTTAGAAATTAAACCTAATACTATTAGAATAAAGCCCACTAAAATTACAAAATTTATAGTATCTAATTTACATAATATAAACCCAGATAAAATAAGGTAAAAACTATTAATTAAAAATATTCCATAATTTATGTAATTATTTAAATTTATGGTAACCATAAATTTGAATAATTAAGGTATTATAAATAATAACATTCTAATTATAATACTTAATAAATTTATATGAGTAATACTCTACATTTGTATTATTAAGTATAAAAACTATAACATAATATATTTATTAATGACGTAGCTCATTTTTGTATTCCACCTATACTAGTAAAGGCTACAATTAAACAACCACTACTAAAGCATAATGTATTATTATAAGGTATTTTTGTTGAATCAATATTTAATTAGATTGTAATATTACTTTATTTTTATGTAAAGGCATAGGTGTTTTAAATAAAAAATTATGGGATTTAATTTTAATATTCTTCATTAAGATCCTCAGTAATACACAGATACATATAAAAAAAGTCATACCACATCAACAAAGTGTCAGTATAAAATTCCACCCTCAAAACCCAAATGATGATTGTCTGTTAGATGGTATGCAAATATTCTTCATAAAGCTACCGCTAAAAAAGCAGTTCCTATCATTACGTGTAATCCATGAAACCCTGTTGCAAAAAAAAAACATGTACCAAAAGCACCATCACTAATAGTGAAAGATGATACACTATATTCTATTCCTTGAAAACCAGTAAAAATAACCGCTAATATTATAGTAGCAATAGAACCATATAAAGCTCCACTTCTTTTACCTTGAATTAAAGAATGATGAGCATATGTAACTGTTGCACCACTTGATAATAATAGTACTGTATTAAGTAAAGGTAATTCAAAAGGATTAACAGGTTCAATACCTATAGGAGGTCATTGAGCCCCTAATTCCACAGTAGGAGTTAAAGCACTATGAAAGAATGCTCAAAATATAGCCATGAAGAATAAAGCTTCAGAAACTATAAATAAAATAACCCCTAAATTTAGTCCTTTTTGTACTGCTAAAGTATGATTACCTAAAAAAGTTCCCTCGCTAATTATATCACGAAATCAAAAGGACATAGCAAAAACTAGCATTATAAGAGCTAAAAAATATATATTATATGCATTACTAAAACTATGCATAGATAATGCTCCACTAGTAGCTAAACTAAACAAACTAATACTTGTATATAATGGTCAAGGTGAAGGAGACACTAAATGAAAAGGATGATTTTGAAAATTACTTCTTACTATTTCAGTCATTTACCTTTCTTAATTAATAAGTTAAAAACATACAAAGTATATAATTATTAAATAACCTTGGACTCAGTGGCCTTGCTTATGCATTCGGTATGTCTCCCCCACCCTCTAGTCCATCGCAGGTAATGCCTGCGGAATCCCCACTAACAGCCAGAAGGCATGACGGAGCTCTCGGCGGTAAGCTTCATGACCACGCCGTCCAGAGTCTCGCTGCTGGACGACCGCTCATCAGTGGGCACGCTTCTGCCTCATACTTCGGCGAAGGTGGTCGACGAAGATATGAATACTCTTCCTCCAGATACTCGAGGCGAACTTCTGGTATCTGGATATCTGGTCTTCAAGGGGTACTACAGCAACGCAGAGAAGACGAAGGAGGCTTTGGTCACTGACGGACAGGGACGCAAGTGGCTACGGACGGGCGATCTCGCCACGTGGAGTCCCTCCGGCGCATGCACTGTTGTCGGACGGTCGAAGGACATGATCAAAAAGGGTGAGTTATATTTGCAAAAAAAAGCCATGTACAGTTGACTGACAACTTTTCCTTCCACCCCAGGCGGAGAGAACATAGCCCCAGCAGATGTCGAGAAAGAAAGTTCTAGAGCTCCACCCCGGCATCGCGGCCGCAGCCGTAGTCGGGGTCCGCGATGCGCGCTGGGGAGAGACGGTCGGCGCGTTCCTGCAACGCCAGCAGCACGACTTCAACGCACAGAGCAAGGACGTCAAGATCTGGCTGCGGAAGCGGATTGCGCCGCACAAGGTGCCCGACCACTTGTTCTGGATCGGAGAAGACCCGGGCGTCCCGGGCGAATTTCCCGTCAATGCCAGCGGGAAGGTGCTGAAGAATGAGCTCGGTGTCGTTGCGAATCGGCTCCTGAACAAGGAGGAGGCCTAGTAGTGGCGGTAGTATTCCAGCGTAGACCGGATAATACAAGCATGTCAGACTTTGGCGTGATCTCGTTAGACGTTGCAATGGACCATGCGACCGCTGTTCCCGATGCTGGCTTGTGATGGGACGGCCACTGTGTCGCACCCAGCGGAATATTGACTTCCTAAAGAGGAAAGAAATGACCGAATATTCCGTCGATCTCCAACGCCACAGCTTTCGACGTCAGTAGGGGAACGAACATCTTCTCATTCATTCATTATTCTTTCCCTACTCCTCTCATGTCAGTCCGCTGCATTTCTGATTCCTGCGATGGCGTCAAGTGAAAAGGACGATCTCGAGGTTGGCGAGAAGCAGGTAAATCCCCCAGCCACCCCACGTCTCTCCCAGCCCAGTAGCTATCACTAACAACCACACTCTCAGTCAAGGACCAGCTCTTCGCCGTCTGTTTCCAATCCTATCGAAGAAAAAGAGACCGATGTCGAAGCCGCGAAGCCACCCGCAGCCGCTGCCGATGTCGATGCCGATGCCGACCCGAACGAGGTGGACTGGGACGGGCCCGACGACCCCCATAATCCGAAGAATTGGCCGGTCTGGAGACGGGGCGTGATTGTCGGCATGGCCATGTTCGATCGTCTTCTCGACGTGAGTTGAGAGTCGGCACATAACTCGCAGCGGGCCATTCTGACGTGTATTCGGTACAGATCTCTGGCGGCTTCCGCGGTCGCCCCGGCGGTGCCTCAACTCCTCGAGGACTTGGGTTCGAGCAACGACGTGGCGGGGACGTTAGTGATCGCGATCGAGGTCCCGAACACCAGTACCTACCATGATAGCATAAGGGCATAGCTGACATGTCGCGCTCGTCTAGCTCATGGGCACTGCCGTTGGGCCCCTACTCCTGGCGCCGTTGTCCGAGCTGCGCGGCCGTCGCATCGTCTACAATCTGGCCAACCTGGGCTTCTCTGCGTTCACGATCGGATGCGCACTGTCTCCGACCTTGGGCGGACTGATCGCTCTGCGATTCCTGCAAGGGTGTGCTGCCTCATGCTCCATCAACAACGGCGGCGGGACGATTGCCGATGTCGTCCCAACGCACCGCAGAGGCTCGGTCATGTCCATCTTCTCCATGGCGTTCATGTTCGGCCCCGTGATCGGTCCCATCATTGGCAGCTATCTGGCCGCAGCTGCTGGCTGGCGATGGGTATTCTGGCTGCTTTTGATATTTGCGAGTTGTGCCGTACACGCGCACAGGCTACAAGGCTCATCTCCTGACAATCGCAGACCGGCACACTTGGAGTCATCAACGCCATCTTCACGCGAGAGACGTACGCGCCCGTAATCCTCGAGCGCAAGGCCAAACGACTGCAGAAAGAAATCGGCAACAAGGCGTTGTACGCCAAAGGCCAGCGTCAGCTCCCCTTTGCCGATCTTATGAGACGGAACTTCTCCCGCCCCATCAGGATGCTGCTCTTCTGCCCTCTCATCACCGGCCTGTCTCTGTACATTGCGTTCGTCTATGGTGTCACGTACCTGCTGTTCTCGACATTCTCTTTCATGTTCGAGGGGCAGTATCACTACAGCCGGGCGAACCTGGGTCTGGCATATCTTGGGCTGGCTGTGGGAATGTTCATCTCGTTGACGATTGCGGGGCTGGTCAGTGACAAGACATACGTGCACTTGACACAGAAGCATGGGGAGGAGAAACCGAGTGAGCCACCCTACCTAAGTAGCAGTCGGAATTTTTTGCTGATCAGTAATCATCCAGGTTTCGGCTCAGAGGCTTGCTATACGGGATCGTAGCTATTCCGATCGGACTATTCTTCTACGGGTGGACAGCCCAGTACCAAGTCCACAGCTCCGTGCCCATCATCGCAACGGCGTTCATCGGCTTCGGAAACATGTTCACATTCGTAAGTCGGAACACTCAGATCCGACAACGAGCTTGCAAACAGACTAACAGCACATCCCAGCACCCGACTCAGACATACATGATAGACGCTTACACGAAATACGCGTCCAGTGCCATCGCAGCCAGCAGCGTCCTGCGAAGCCTGGCCGGGGCTCTCCTGCCCCTGGCCGGTCTTCCGCTGTACGACAAGCTTGGTCTGGGTTGGGGGAACTCGCTGCTTGGATTTCTGGCACTGGCGATGGGGGCGCTGCCGTTGCTGTTCAATAGGTATGGCGAGCAATTGCGGAAGAGGTACCCGCTCGATTTGGACTAAAGGCAACTGAGGACGGCTCACCGTGGCCATGCCCACTGGCTCTGAGCTTCTGGTGTTCGGAGATAGATGGCTAGAAACCGGCTCCAATGCAGCAACAGCGGGCGCAGAAGACGTTGGAGGCTTTGGCAGCGAAGATGCCGGTGGGTTGGAGGATATGCTGTACGGCAAATTGATTGATATCTTCTGGTCAATCGACGCAATGTGCTGCCTTATGCCCGTAGAGGGTATCTGAACCCGGAGGAGGCAGATCGCAGTGCTTTATGGTTTCCTTGTGAACCTGACCTTTGGTTTTCTGAGTGTGATGCATTGACTGCTTATGCCACTGGTCGCGTCCTCCTTCACGGCTTGAAAATGAAGGCGTAGGTGGATCTTGGACCGCATACTTCGCGGTGAACACCACTGATGCCTTCCACTTGCATCCAGTTCTCGAGAAAGCCTTCTTCAGATCCCCTGCCCGGCTGACCGTTCTTGTTATCGCCAACAACATACAGCAGGTTGCGGCCACTATGCTCAGCAGCGACTGCGGCATGCGCACCGCCAAGCGCCACATCAAGAACGACCAGCGGGCTGTCGTCGTCGCCAGGAAGCTCGACCAACGCCACGTCGTCCGAGGTGGTCTCCCGCAAGCACTTTATACGCTGCTCTGCGCCTGGCGCATTGCTAGCACCCCAAAGGTATAGCGCGCTATCTTCAGACAGAGCTGCGCTCATGCAACCCCCGCTCGCTATCTTGGCGATCTTCAACCCGCCGATCGCGTCCACCAGGCCTGGCTCATCTGCCGGCGGGACGCTGACGTCTTCTTCGATGGTGGCCCGGCCAAGGGACTGATGATAGCGTGGATCACCCCAACTATACACCTCGCCGTCTTCCATCAGCAGCAGAAAGGTCGCTGTGTTTGCGAGCAGCTGCTTCGGCCTACCCTCCAGCATATGGTGCTTGTCCGGGTAGTTCCCTTCTCCAGATGGATCATGGTACCAGGCAAGGAACTTGACCAAGTTCTCGAACTCGAGAACTTGGCATAGTCTAGTGAGTCTACCATTGGGCACTTGTTTGCATGTTACCACCATGCGCTCATTACCTGCCAAGGCGATATGGCTGAGCCTCGGTGACGAGTCGGTGGTTTTGGTAGCAAGGCTCATAGCGGAGCTTTCCGGATTCTGCGCGGCATTCACAACCAGAACGAGACCTCCATCGTCGTCGAGGAAGCCTATCAGGCCATCGTGGTCGCCAAAGGCGGACCTTGGGCTGGCTTCAATGGTGCTGGCTAGGTTTTGGTATCCCAGACTCCAGACTTTCTCCCGACTGCGTAACACAGTAGAGCTCCAGCCAGCGAATAGGATGTCGAGGTCATCGTGTTGGCCTGTGGCCACTGAGAGGTGCGCGAAGCTCCGGACATCGGTCGTAGGATCAGTCTGCAATTGCGAGTGGGCATTCAGGCCAGCCCACAATATGCTCAGATGCTGAGTACTGGCTCTTTCTGGCGCTTCGCATGAGCTCTCGTCCATTTTCACATCTTTAGTAGAACTCTATGGTAGATAGTTACCGGAGCAGTATGGACCGCGGCGGTAAGGTACGTTTTGCATCCACCGTATCCACCTTACGGGTGTATAGATGGCCCGATCTGTGGGTACAGCTTCCATTCGCATCGCTTATTTTCGTCACCACTTCAGACGACGCGCTTGGCAGAGCAACAGGGTGGACACGGAAGACCGCGAGAACTTCCTGCACCATCGCCTTCCGATACCTCTTCGCGACGATGACGGGCATATCTGGCTGTGGACGGGCTTCGTCTTTCGCGATTGGCGAGCCACGCTGGATACCAAGCACGATTCGACGCATAAGCTGAGGAACAAGGACATGCTCGCGATGAAGCAAAGTCCGGACGGCGCGATGGAGAAGAGACTCCCGGAAACATGCTGATTGTGTTAAAGCCTGACACTCCAATCTAGTGTGGAACCCAGTCCGGTCCCTGGGGTACGTATAGGCTAGGACTGGATTTCTTGCACAATCGGCCGTTCTCGTTCGGTAAACCATCGACACTGTTCACCTCAAAGAATTCACTGCCAACAGCCCTCGCCCAAAAGACATTCCTGGGATCATATTTCTTCTTGAGGCTTAAAAGCTTGGGATACCATGCCCCACCCCCTAACGGGACACACCCCCCACCGGGACAGCCAAACCCCACCATCACCACCAAAATACCCCCTTACTCACTTACACGCAATTGAGGCTGTAGATGCCCAAAGAAATCAACAAAATTATCATTCTGTGGTGTTGAGGCTCCTCAATCCACGTATCTAGCTGGCGCTCTAATTGACCGACCGCTTCTCGTCACCTGGGGCTCTGCAACAGGGGCTTCTTCACCCTCCTCAGCCTCCTCAACCTCTTCCTCCTCCTCACCCTCATCTTTAACAACCTCTGGCTCTGCTTCTGACTCTGAAGACTCTATAACCACGGCCCTTAACGGGTCACCCCCCTGGGCCAATATCTCGGTCATATTTATGAACTTCCGGTTCGGATTTGGGACCTTTTTCCTCTTCTTGGGCCGTAGCCACTCTAGTTCAGCCTCCAGGGCCTTGATCTTATGATCTTTTAGGGCCAGCTCCGTCTCCTGGTTCTCGAAGGCGTGGGAGATCTTCCTGAATTTTAGCCAAGTGGCTGGGGAACGGTTCTTTGCGAAATCTATGATCTGTCGGCTTGTGGTAGGGGTCCGCTGGTCTTCTGGCTCCGAGTCTTTAACTTCCTCTGGCTCCGGGGTCTTTCTTTTATCCTCCTGGATTTCTGGGTGTTTCAAACACTTCCTGCGGCTAACTGGGTAGCACCCCGTCACTTGGAAGCCCGAGAGGATGTTTGGCTTAGAAAAAGCCTTGTCCCTAGCCTGAGAATAAATGCGGATGAAGTTGATCTTATCCACGGGTGAGGCATCTGTGAGAGAATTTAATTACGAAAGAAATCTCTGGTAGTAGGCTTTGAGCGCGTTATATGGTCCGTTATCTAGTGGTTGCATGCCGTGGCTGGTATGGGCTGGGAAAAAACAAAGCAAGATGTTAGCAAAATAACACTGCAATATGAACTCGTCCTGTTAGTTATACAGTTAGTTAACTGATTAAATAACCCCTGAAAAATAAATAACGTACGGAAGTATGGCTACCATGGCCATCTAGTATCAAAAGGATCGGCTCTGCCTGGTCTTCCCCTCGTACAGCATCCACCTAGGGTAGAAAAACATGGTCTAACCATAGGCACGCAATCTCGTTACTGGTCCAGCCGTTATCTGACATTATGTAGTACTAACCCGCGATTTTGCGGAATTCTTTGATGAACCATTGGGCCTGGAGATCTTTTCCTTTGAAAATTATGCCTGGTTTGAGAACTTTTCCAGTGACTGAGATGGCTTCGATAAAGGAGGTCCAGCCACGCCCCTTAGGACTCTTTAGGAAGGCTTTCATAGTCTCAGAACTTCCTAAGACTAGGGAATCGATGCCTATAGGGGTTAGCTAGTTAACTGACAGGATAGGGGTGAATAGGGGGTTAAAAGACTAACCAAAACCCGACATGATGCCGCCCTTATCGATATTATATGTATTTTCTGGCTTCACCCATTGATAATCCGCCAATATGTCAAAGAACCAGTTGACAGACTTAGGGGTGAACCCCTTAAACCGAGCAGATTCCATCCGCTTACCAATTTTAGTCTGGATGGTAGGATTACGGCATTTATAGCCCTCCATATAATTCGGGCCCAGTGGTACGAAATCCCCCCCCTTTTTCAGTAGTTATATAATAATCTCCTGCACGGCTGTGTGAGAAAGGGCAAGCCCTAGGGACTCCTGGCACAATATTCATTGAGCCACCTTACTCTCTTATTGAGGGGAGAGTCTCTGCTTGCTAACCTGGGCCTCGGCTTGGGTGACTCTGCCGTTGATACGTGCTGACAGCGTTTGCTTAGGGATGCTGTATTTTTGGGCGGCTTTTCTCACAGACATGCCGTTATCTGTCACATCTAGCCAGGCATCCGCCATATTATCTTTAGTGTACGTGGGCGGAGGCATTGTGGCTGGCTTCACGATGCTGTGGTGGCATAAGGGTCAGGGGCTCAGAGAGAGAATTCTACAGCAAATTTGCATTTAGGGGCAGGGCACGGAGGCTCCTAAGCACTGATGCCAATGGCTGAAACTTCACTAATCTACATCCGGCTAAATACCAAGAAAAGGGCTATCTAACCATCTAAAGAGCGTATAGATAGCCTCAAAGGGGGCTGTAATCCGTGTAAGTGAGGTAGGGGACTTTTGGTGGTGGTTGTGGGGTTTGGCTGTCCCGGTGGGGGTGTGTCCCGTTAGGGGGTGGGGATGGTAGAAGCTACCATAAAATGCCCACTGAAAATCCGGTTCCGTACGGTCCGACTCGCCTAGGTAGCAACCTGCGCCAGGAGAAAAGTCTCGCCAATGCTGCATGTAACCGTTTGTAAAGTTATCGCGAGCAGTGAAAACCTCCCATGTTGTCGACTTTAGCGACCAGCTGACGGACGAGAGCATATGGAGGACGGTCTCACGCCAGGCTGGGTTCACGGAGGTGTTCTGGTAACCGCCGTTAGGCCAGGTCGGAGCCTGGTTGAAGCCGATGATCGTCAAGCCGGCCTCTGAATTGGACTTCATGGCGCCAAAGGTGGCGTTGAGAATCGTGTCGTTGCTCCAGTTCGTGCGAGGCCATAGCCGCGACGCTGTAGCGACGTGGGTTTTCTCAACTGCTTCGAGAGGGAATGAGGCATTTCACGCGTCCCAGAAGCTGTCGAAGTGCCGTGTCGTCGGTAAGATGCTAATACCGAGCGCAGTGAGCTCATCGAACCAAGGCTGTAAGATGGCTTGCGTTTCGTTGAGCGTCTTTTTGGGTGCAAAGAAAGGCTGCATCAAGAACTCAAACTCGCCAGCGCTGGGTACAGAGGCCAGGACAAAGAAGTAAGCGTACGTGCCAAGGTCCACATTTGCTGGGAAGTAGTTGTAATACGCCCGAACCTGGATACATATGAGTGTAAGCGTCAGCATATGTTTCAAAACTAGGTTCGCGCCGGTCACACTGATTGGTGTACGTACCCCGGCCCAGAAGGTATCCTTGGATATGCTGACAGAGGTGAATGAAAAGATGGAGGAGGTGACCTGCATCTCCGGGTACGCCTTCACGACGACCGAGGTCACGATGCCGAAAGTGCTGCCGCCGCCACCACGCAGCGCCCAGAACTACCACCATCAGCAAACGTCCCTCCAAAAAAGAGGCTTTGCATATGGCTTTCTCACCAAGTCTGGGTTCTTCTGTGCATTGGCGGCGACGAAGCGACCGTCCGCCGTCACTACCTCCATATTCAAGACTTGGTCGGCAGCCATGCCATAAATTGAGCTGAGCGGAGAGTGTCCACCACCTTGTATGTAACCTCCCATGACGCCAACTGTCTGGCCTTCGCCGCCGACAACTACAAGCCCTTCATCTCGAGCAGCCGCATACACTTCGTAGGCTTGCACGCCTGCTCCAGCCTTGAACGCCGGGCCATAGTAGTTGGTCGTCGCGTCGTTGTACGATGATATGTAACGAGATTTTTCAGATTATGCGTAAAGACGCTCAAAGATCCAGCGCCGCCGGACTTGCCTGAGAAGTCATGGCCAGTGTTCTTAACGACCAAACGGATGCCTGTGTTGCGGGCGAAGTTGACCACAGCCTGTATTTGGCCTACATTCGTCGCATTAACTACATAAGCGGGATAGCCTCCTGGTGTGCAGTTACCGCTGTTGATAGCTGGTGGGAACTACAGGCTTGGTGGCTGGCACGGCAGCCCCTGGTACACGGGTGAGAGCATCTCGATGGGGTCTTCGAGGCTATCGATGCGTTAGCAGGGAGCAGCGTCTTGAGAGAAGACCGGATCTTATAAAAGGATCGCCAATGCTTACTGGGTGTACGAGTTCGTCCAATTTGCCGCCAGTGCTGCACATGCAGTCTCATTGTGCTTGCTCGTGCCGTTGAAGTAACGGCGGGGGCATAGATGTGGGACAGTTTTCACACCCAACATCACAATGTTCACTTACACATATCTCTACCGGCAATGAAGCCCTAGATATCGTAAATACTGCATTGAAATCGTCTTTTCTTGTTATTTTCAGCAGTGCTGGTTTCATTAGGTTTACCACTGCGAGATGGGCCGCTGTGGGGGTCGGAAGTTAGCACTCCCGGCCCTAATCTGAGGGGTAATGGGACCCATGCCCCCTATCCCCTTCACTGTAACAGAAGTTCTGTTGTTCTTTTTTTTCTTTTTTTTCTGTCAGCATCATAGGCTTCAGTTCGTTGAAATGCCTCCTTCGTACATTCCAGAAGACCTCGCAGAGGCAATTGCCACTATGAACGATGGCATATCCCTCCGCAAGGTGCATCAGCGCTGGGGAGTACCGAAATCAACTCTTGCGCCGAAGGTAGACGGCACCACGATGCGCCCAACGCTGACTAGCCGTGAGGGGGCTTTTAGGAGCCAAAAGTTAAGCCCTGCGCAAGAAACTCGGGTTGTATCATTGTCAGATTTGAGCCAATCGTGAGGTTGAAGTGTGTCTGTGTATTCTGTCTCTCTAGAGTGTCCTCGTGCAACCGTGGCAGTTTTGTGCCAGAGGGGGCTGGATCGGGACGGAACAACTAGGTTCCGGTGTCTACCTATCAAGGTGCCTTCTGGGCTCACCTTTAATCCAACACACCCCCTCAGCCAGGCAGGCAACGGCTCTGACTGAACTAGTCTATAGAGTAAATTACTTCAGGGTCTTGACTTAGAATCCCTTCTCTCTTCTCAATGGCTCCCTCCTGTGACCTCAAATCAAGCTGCCTCGCCCGAGTGTCTATCAATCCCAACTGATCCAGAAATCCTGCCCACTGTTGAGCCGGCAAGGCCTTGGTCAACCCATCCGCTTTCATCTTTGCTAAAGGCGTGTACTTGATGCTGACAGTTCCTCATTTCACTTCTTGTCGAAGCCAATGGTTGTGTATGTCCACATGCCGCAACTTGGTTTTTAAGAGGGCAATTTCGGCGGTCACTAACTTAATCGTCTGTGTATTATCGTATTCCATTTTGATCTTCTCGCGTTCGAGTTGAACACCAAGTTCTGTAACCAGCCGGCTGATATACAGAGTCTCTTTGACTGCCTGAGCCAGTGCGAGTAGTTCCGCTTCTGTAGTCGATGTAATAACCGTGTCTTACTTGTTGGCCCTCCAGCCGATCAATCCTCCAAAGAGAGTCATGGCGAATGCCTGAGAGCTCTTTTTATCGGAAGTATTGTCGGCAAAGGAAGCATCACTGGCCACCACTAAATCGTCTCCTCCTCCAAACTGGAGAGAGTAGTGTCTTGTTTTGTATAGGTATCGGATGACTCGGTCGGCAGCATTCTGATGGATCTGACTTGGGTTCGTAAGGAGTCTAGTGAGGCGTGATGTTGCGAAGGCTATGTCTGGTTATGTAGAAACTGAGGCAAATAGGATGGAACCAATCTTTCGTTGGTATTTCTGGATCTCGTGAGGGGCGGCGTGATCTTGCCAGGGCAGTAGTTCTTCTGTACCCATTGGGACCTCAGGGAGTCTGTCGGTCAGGTTGATTAGCTTGGTTACTTTCTCAATGTAGGAGGTCTGGGATAGCCAAATCTTTCGCTGGGGCCGGTCCCGAATGATTTCCATTCCAAGGAACCATTAAACGTGCTCGCCTCCAGTGATCTTGTATCTTCGTTAAAGCTGCTGAACCACGTTTTGGACATCTTTTTGTGCGTGTTTTCTATATGCGATGATCACGTCGTCCACGTAGAAGAATATCATGATTCCTTTTCTTGTATAACAGCACGGCTCATGTGGAACTGGGTTGAATCCCAAGCTGGCCAGAGTCTTTGAGAACTCCTTTTGCCATAGCAATGGAGAAACCCTCAGCCCATAGAGTGCCTTGTTTAACTGAAGAATTGTACCTTTCTTGCGATAGCCGTGTAGTATTTGCATGAAGATCTTCTCATTGATAGGGGCATGCACAAAGGCGTTGATAACGTTGTACTGGATCATCTCGAGGTCAAATTTGGCCGCCAGGGCTATCAAGGTTCTGAACGATCTTCCAGCAAGAGTAGCTGCATACGTTTGCTCTGAATGCAGCCCCTTCTGTTGATCTCTTCTGACTACGAGACGTGCCTTGCACTTGATGAACCTCTCATGCTTATTAAACTTATAGACATACACACATATGCAGTCCAAGATTTGATGTCCTTGTATAGATGGGTCTTTCTTTCGGATCTCAGTCCATGACCTCATGCCATTATGACTTTTTAGGTGATCCTTTTCGGCCATTTTGAATAAGTGCCCTATTGAATGGGTTGCTAGTTTGTCGCGCCGTTGTGGCGCTTCTTCCAGGAGTTGCCTGTGCAGCTTGAATCCTTTTCGCAAGGCTCTCTCAATGCTTACCCGATCTAGGGTGTTTTGACCCGATCGTTCTATGGGCGAAGCCTTGAGGCCTGCTAGAAACGCCGCTTTCCAAGGCTCGAGCTCTTTTCGTCCTGGGTCTTGGAAAGGATTTTTGGGTTCCTTATTCCCCTTCTGAATACTATGACATAACAGGGCGGACGGAGGACTAGGCGGTGGTGAAGGTAATAGGGCAAACTTTGCCGTGATGTACGGGTGCTCATTCCCAATACCCACATCTATTTCCTCTTCGTCCTCTTGGACTTGTATCCCCGTCGGGACCACCGGGCCTCCCGCACTTCCATCCTCTACCCCCGTCGGGGGAGGATGTTGGTCTGCTTGCAGTTCATCAGGATTTTCTTCCTCGTCCTGAACATAGTCGTCGGACTTGGATAGAGCATACTTGTTGACCATGGCCTGTATCTCTTTAATAGTCGCCGTCTTCAAGTCATCTCGGAACCGCTCTTTATTCCTATCAAATACCTCGTTCTTATTGAAAGCGACATCTCTTGTACTTATCACCTTGTTCAGGTGAGGCACCCACACACGGTAGATATTGGAAGACCGATATCCAACCAAGTATCCAATCCATGCTTTGGGAATGAGTCTGTCTAGCCTTCGGCGACCCAACTTCATGTCGGTTGTCATTGCGTAGGCCTTGCAGCCATACACCCGGAGATGTGTCTGGTCGGGGCGCTTGTCAGGGGCCATCGGTCGACCTGTCTTCCTTATAACTGCTTCAAAGAAGACATCAAAGGGGCTTTTTTATCCACTCTTTCTTCTTAGTGTCTGATTGTAGAGATATGTAGCCGTTTTGAGTATTTCTGGCCACAGGAAGGTCGGTAATCTAGCACCAATTTGCATCGCGCGCGCTTTCGTTTTCAGTACATCCCCTGGGCGCTTGGCACCTCCATTCTGGGCTTGTGTATTGGGAGCCGAGGGCTCTACCTTGATCGCGGGGGCTTCTAGCCATCTTCCTATGTCTGGCTTGTTAATATATATCTTATTGTCTGTTTCAATTACCTTGACTTTGATGTCGTATTGGCATTCTAGCCACAAGAGGTGCGTTGACACCACACGGATGATTGTTTCCGTAGTTCGATTCTCGAGAGCGTAGTCCCATGAGACACCAGAGTTTCTGCATGTAAAGACCATATGAGATGACTCGTTTGACAGCGACCTCTCGTAGTCGTGGAAGTCGAGAGCTAATCTCTCTCCTGGATCTTTGTAGTTAGATCATGGTGCTCTCTGTATATGCTGTCTGGCCTTAGACATTCCGCATGACTCGCATTCCACTCCCGTTGGTCCTCGGATGACCACCCCCTGAGATGCGCGCACTAGGTGTTCCAAAGCTTCTGGACCAGGATGTCCTAGTCGTTGATGCCATAGCCATGCGTTCCCAGTGAGAGGAGGTCTTCTGGACCATGAGCTGTGTAGATGCTTCTTGCTGCGTTGTGCGGTGTGAAACATAGCGTTTGGGTCGTTCGGTTGGTAGTCGATGACATATTGGCTGTACATGTCCTTGATATGGCCGACCAAGGTATTATTTCTTCTTTTGAGACTGGTCTGCCTTTCCTTGTTGTCCCACCAATATCCTCTCCGTCTGAGTTCTCGTAGGGATACAAGAGTGGTGAGGAGTGAGGGGCAGTAGGCTGTATTTGGGAAGCTGATAATCGTGCTTCCGACGCATACTTGCATATTTCCGTACGCTTGGATGGGTAGAGGGCGGTCTCCTGACCATACAAAATCCCCTGGTGGCGCAGTCCTCCAGCTGGTTAGACGCCATGCTTGGTTTGTGATCGTGATGGTGCTTTCATTGTCTAAAATGACTGAATAGGACAGTGGATAGTCGTCTGATTTGACCGTTGTAAAGGCTGATGGCACCTTACCCATCGTTCTGTCATAGAGTCAATCTTGAATCTCTTCAGGCTTTTCTTCTTTAGGTTGAGGAGTCTTTGTGCTTGATTTTGTTTTATTCCGCTTTAAGGCGCGGACTTGAGCTTGTAGTTCTGGATCTTCCAAGACTTGGGTTGTCTTCTTGACGAGATAGTCCCTAGGTCGGAAGCCCTTCCATGCCTTCTCCGGGAAGACATGGAAACAATTCGCCAATGCATGATCCATTCCACACGCTAGACATTCAGAATGGTCCTCATCCCTATTTCTCTCGTTCCTCGGTCGGCGTTTGGTCTGTTGTCTCCTAGGCCTTTTGCTTCCGGCTTTTTGTTCTTCTTTGCCGGAGCCCTCGCTGTTATAGGTAGACCCAAATGCACCTTTGGAGGCTCATCCAGCTTTGTTGGTGGTCTGTAAAATAGCTCTTATAAAGTCGTTGATAAGATCTTGATGTTTGAGAATCCCGTGCCGGATTTGTTCGTCTTTAGTAACCACGTAAGTGTTTGACCACATGGGAAATGCTTCGGATACCGCGTCCAGGAAGTCTCTGGCCCACGAGCTCACGCTGAGTGTTTTGGGAACTTCTTTTTGATGGGCCTTCGTAAAGGCGATCTCCTAAGAAGCAATCCATCTTGCTGCGTTCTTGGGATTTTTGAGGGGTTGGAGTGCTGTCTTGTAGAGTTGTCTTGTATCCTCCTGCTTATCTGCACTTGCCATTCCGCACTGGGTTTAGAGATTTGTGTACCACTCCAAGATTGGTTGCTTTGGAATGCAGCAGGTGGTCTTGTAGTGGTTTGCGACAGACTTGAGTATATGGTTCTTGATCTTTTCCAAAGACAGTGCTTGCTTCTTGTGCAGCTTCTGGATTCAATCGTAAAAGCTATTATCGAGTTCATAGGTTTGTTTCCCCAATGTCGTTAGATCTGATAATATCCACACGCTATTGTTTTGCTTGTGTTGAATGATTTTGTCATCTTCGTTTCCGTCATTCGGATTGGGATTGATTTCGATGGTTTGGCTTGATTCGAGAGTCGTTTGTTTCTTCTCGTATTTCTTTCGTGCAATATTCGGAATCTCTGGTTGTGGTATAATTCCCTTCTTCTGAATGAGGAGGTCAAGAAGACCTAAGGCGTCTGCCTTCAGTTGGAACTCATGGTCCCATTCGGGCTATTCTCTTGCTTCCGACAGTGATGCTGAGAAGTCTGCTTTCTCAGACTCTCGAAGGGTTAAAAGGACAGGCATCTTAGATATGTAGGATAAATGGGTTTAGTCAAAGGGATCGGCGATGAGATTCTTAACTGTCAGATTTGAGCCAATCGTGAGGTTGAAGTGTGTCTGTGTATTCTGTCTTTCTAGAGTGTCCTCGTGCGACCGTGGCAGTTTTGTGCCAGAGGGGGCTGGATCGGTACGGAACAACTAGGTTCCGGTGTCTACCTATCAAGGTGCCCTCTGGGCTCACCTTTAATCCAACAATCATGGATCCTCTATCAAGAGAAGGCTGGCCACGCGCCAACTCACGGCAATGTGAGGTACATCATCCGGAAGATCCTACAGTCTGAGGGCAGGGCAGATCATTTAGGGGGCAAATACATGCAAAATTTCATCCGCAGGCACACAGAGATAAAGACCAAGATGGGCAGAAAACTGGATTACAAGCGTATCAACGCCGCCACGCCCGAGAACATCAATGGCTTCCATGATCTCTATAAGGAGTTTGCCTTTATCAAACCCGAGAACCAGGCAAATGTCGATAAGTACGGCATTATGCAGGGCTAGCAGTACATAAGCGCCCAATCCAAGTGCTTTTTGGACGGCTGACCGGGCCGATAATAGGTCTGATGGCCTTGTAATAGGTAGTTCTGGCTCAAAAGGGGCCAACGTCAAGTCTAAAGACGACCACACGTGGAATATAGTGATCAAATCGATCACTGCCACTGGGAAGAAGCTCCAACTGCTCGTTATTTTCAAGGCAAAGCCAATACAGACTCAGTGGTTTAAAGAGCAGCTCATTATTGAGCATCCCGCGATGGCAGAGTGGATAGTGACGTACTCCATTAACGGCTGGTCCTCGAACGAGATCGCGTTAGAGTGGCTTGAAAAAGCGAGTAAATAACGAGTACTATTCGTTAACTACGTGCTAATAAGCCTCAGGTGTATCTCCTTGATACAGCTCCTGAAGATCCCGATGATTCTCGCCTCCTAATATTAGATTGCCATGGCAGCCATTGCTCGGATGAGTTTATATATCTTTGCTATATTAACAACGTATATATGTGCTTTTTTCCAGCTCACACAGTAAGTTAGATGATCAGTTAGTAGTTATTTTGTTAATAGGGATAGTCTCATATCTTCCAGCCGCTGGATTTGACAGTATTCTCTGTTATTAAAGCCGCCTACCGCCGCTTGATCAATCAGCTTGGCCAGCTCAACGATTCGGCCCCTATTGGCAAGATTAAGTTCCTTAGTTGTCTAACGAAAGATCGCGATGAAGCTATGCCGGCTATCGTGCGTTCGGGATGGCGTACTGCTGGGCTTTGGCCTGTAAATCGACGAAAAACGTTGACAAACGAGCATATGGTGAAGGCGGCGGAGATCCAAGCAGCAGCAGCTGCTATAATGGACCCCGAGACCACCCACGAGGCCCTAGAAGCCCCTAAATCAGGGCAGGACATAGCCCTGATGCTATCACCAGTTGCTGAGACCCCTGAGCAGCGAGCAGCAGTACGCTCGGTTGCAAAGTCGTACGATGAGATGGTGGTTGAGCTAGCCCTTGCAAAGGAGCTGCTGGAGGCAAAAGACGCCAAAATGGAGTGTCTACAGCCAAAAAAGCGCCGTAAGGCGTCTCAAGAAGAGCCTAATCAATGGCTATAGAGAATTAGGGATGTTATTCAGGAGCAGATCAAGCAAACAGAGGCTGCGCGAGTCTTGATCAAACAGCGGGCCGAGAGACGATAAATTGTGGCCGAATTGCAGGACCTATATACGAATGAATCAAAGAGACCACTCTCTGATGACTCTGTCTCGCCTGAATCATCAGATTCAGAAGAATTTGAGCCCTTAGAAGGTGTTGAGGATAAAGGGGTTGTTATTGATGAAGGGGACGAAAATGAGGATGAGGAGGATGAGGAGCCCATTTTGGTTCGATCTTCACGCCGCGCAATCCGCCAGCCTGCACGGTACCGCGACGAACATTACTATTGCTGAAAATTCTAAGAAAAGGCGATTCTTTTGCTGTTTTTATATTATCTAGAGCCTCAATCCAGATGGAGTTATGTGTGGGTGCAAGTGTGGTCTTTTGGTGTGAAAACTGTCGCACATCTAGGGCTGTCCCACATCTATACCCCCGCCGTTAGCTGACACTGGCAGCAGGTACAGGTGTGCCTTCTGGCAGGGGCCCAGAATACCATGTTACGATGACTAGTATTCTGGATGTTCTGCTTGCTGTCTAGAAGGATGGGAGCGTGTCCCATCCGAAAGGTCACTTAAGTACTAGATACAGTGCAAACGGTACCTTGTCCCTTGGGCAACAATCCGGCCCACCAGCTGGATCCACACAGGTTTGATCAGAGCAATATCGGTTACACTCATAAGAGCATCCCACTGAGATGCTGTTGGCCATGCATCGTCACCTGGGAAAACCTTGCAGTCTCCCGGCCCAATCAAGGTGTAGTTGACGTATGCGGTCGTGTTCTCGGAGGCCACGTTGACGGAGTCGAAGGCGAACAGTGCAGCGTCGGTGTCGCTCAGATTCTGCAACTTTGAAGCAGTCAACTGACTCTCCTCGAAGGCGAGCAAAGGTACCCCTCCGGCGGTGGGAACGATGGTCACGCCGATAGAGGCGGTGGTAGTCCCAGAAGCACTGCTCGCAATTGTCGAGGTTCCACGTTGCGCCGTGGCGGCCGTTACGTACACCGCTATCAGCAAATAATTCTTACACTTGAACTCAACCATGGCGTAGCGAATTTTCAGCTGCTCGTTAAGACGCAGGTGAACGAGACCAAGAGCAAGATAAGAGCACTGTTGCAGTGGACCTGCATATCATAGGTCTGTAGTTTATATGCCCATGGGAGGTGGGCAATCAAAGTCGGCTAGGATCGCCACGGAATGATGTTCTTCCTCAACCCTGTCATTCACCTTTCAACCTTCAACAAGTTGGGATAACTTTCACAAAAACTCCTGCCAGTCTCTTGCCACATCATTGACCTGTCACAATTCCTTTCCAAGAGTGATTCAATGCATGCTTATTCCATTTCGATATACCCAATCTACATGATACCCGGCCCATTCAACACACAATATGCCTCCTTCACAGTAACTTATTTGAGCGTTGAACAAAGAAACATTTCTCATCTTCTCCTGTGTTTCCGCATCTCGTCTCGAGCCAGGTGTTCCCGCAGACTCAAAATTGATGCCAGCTCTCGGGTATGTCTCGCGCGTCGCCTCGGAGCTGGCCTCGCAGGCTTCCGCAATTTGGACGGTCTTCCGCGCTGAACCATCGCCATGACCTCCTGTATCCTTGCCCCAGTCAACCGCATCGGTCGACGCCTCTCCATGCCGTCAGCCGTGTTGCCGCCAAATGCACTACCGTACAGCACCGCAAACGGCAGATTGTCCGCATGGGGCACCTGCTGCAGTTGAGCTTCGTTCAGCTCCCACAAGTCTGCCAAATCTGTTGCGTGCTTCTGGTGTGTCGCTATCCACTCCTTCTTCCACATCGCCTGGAGTTCGGATATCTTCATTTCGATGTAGTACCCGGGTGGTGCGGAGGGTCTGCGCCGTTGCAGTGTCTCGATAGTGAGTCTCGGTTCGTTTGATTTGTAGTTCTTGGACTCGTAAACCTCCAGCGTGTCCTCGTCCATGTCCAACATGTAAAGCCTGCGCAAGTTAGCGGGAACCAATGAGTTCGGTCTCCTTTCTGGTCAAGCTTACCACCCGGGAGCATCTGAGTCAGTCAAGGTCAGCAAATAAAATCGTGAGAAGGTCATGTTGGTTTTCGTACGTACCGGTTCTCCGTCTTGCGGCTGTTCGTGGAATGGTGAAGATGTCCGTCGCGTTGGCTATCGTCTCAAGCTTGTCCACACCGTTCCGAAGCAGGCCGAAACGAGCGCGCTCTTGCTCAAGATCCTCCAGCAGCTCCTCGGCGTTCTCATATATCTCCAATTGCCGAGCGACATAGCTCTGGCTTTCCGACATCTTAAACTTGAGGAACGCCCTGAGCTCCTTGTCGTGCACTTCGTAGGTGTACTTGAGTCCATTTCTCAATCGAGCCAGGTTCGCAGGATTGCGCACCCATTCGAATAGCTCCAACCCATCCGTGGCAATGATGCCTCGACCGTGCGCTAGAAATCGGACGCAACTTCACGACGTGTCAGCTCGACGAGTTCGAAGCCTATGCAGCGACGCAGTAAGTCGGGATGAAGGGCTTACTGTTGTCCCCCGAACCTGATGTAAACGTGGTAATGTCCAGCCATATTGCCGTTACCGTTGGCTGATTTATCGCTATTGGCTCAAACCACTTCCAACTTGATGTTCTTCCTGCTAATAGGAATTCCATGTTCGAAAGGTAGACCTTGCTTCGGGCACATCTGTGGTTCGAGACAAAGGGGGCAATGTAAACTGAGTCGGCGCACAATGGAAGCCTTCCTGCAAGCAGCGAGGAACTATATCCGGACACAAAGAACACTTTAATGCGAACAATTCAGATGTATGACCAAAATTCAAGCAATATAGATTATCAATTAAACGTATTAATGACATATATTTGGGTGAAAACAGGCTATGCGCCTGGAATCGTTACACTACTGTCTATGCGAAGTGAAGGAAGAAAAGGCAAGATGGCATTGGCACTTCTCACTTAACTGGCAACTTCTGCTGCTGCAATAACCTTCTGTGCTGGCGCATACTCGGGGAAGATTGACTTCATCACTGTAACCCAGTCCTCTGCGATCCACGCATCCTGATTCAGTCTTTCTGCGATAACCACATTCTCCCAGTACGGCGGGAACCAGCCTGCGAACTCCCAGTCAGTGAAGACGGGAAGTCCGTCGCTTGCGCGGATGACAATACTCTTGGGCTGAATATCGCAGTTCGTGAACACTGGTGCATTAACCTGCTGGATGGCATCCGAGAGCTGCACCCGGAATTCCATCGAGAGCTGCCCCAGGAATGGTATATCATTGAAAGATGGACGTGGGGGCGGGGGAGTTTTCGGGAAATACGTCTTTGTCTTTGATGCAGCATTTCGGAGATCTGTCTTGGTTGCAAAGTTCCGTAAAACCCCAGATCTGGTATGGCCCTCAGGGAATCAAGTTGTCGTCGCGTACATGCCCCACCCACCACTCGGCCGCCCCACCACTCGGCCACCCCACCACTCGGCCACCCCACCACTCGGACGCCCAACATTAGTGGCACACGCGTAAACATCTACAACTCCACTTATACCGATATCAGTTAATGTCTGGTGTTTTTAGCTGCTAAGCGCATCATTCTGATCGTTTTTAGACGCTTAGTTATTATATTTATCTGGGTGGCGAGTCTGCCGATCGGAACGGGTCTTTGCAGGGGCTGTAATCTCTTTTTTTCCCGACAAATCCGGGCTGTTGAGTCGGGGACAGCAACAACACCCACAATGGGGCTGCTTGTATAATGGATATAAGAAGGAGGAGGGAGAGCCATTGGCAAAGCCACACAGTGAATTTGAAGGGTGTGTCACATAGAGATAATACAATATGTGTCTGAACTGATCGCTCAATTATATGTGTTATAAGAGAGGAGTGACTGTGCAGGAAGACAAAAGAAAGTAACAAAAAATGAACGGTGGCCTTCATATGCCACAGACCTGGCTGTACATGACATCAACCTTGCACTAAAAACCTTTTTTTTTTTTTTTTTTTTTTTCAACAACTGCTAGCTATACGGCCTTATAGCGATTTAAAGCTGCTTTTTACTAACTGCCAGTTTTTTAAAATGCTTTTAAACCGTTTATTTAAGTTAGATATCTTTTTACGCTTTTAAGACGCATACGTTTTAGTTTTGTTTTTAAACCTTTGATTTTTTTGGATTTTTTAATACCATTTGTGGGAGTCCGGGATTCAGATAGGATGCTTGTTGGTCTAAATCTTAGCTATAATTTCATAGGGGAGATTCCCACTTAAATGCAGCTGTGGGAACCCTTTGATGCCCGGCTGCTTGTCACCAAACAACGGCTTTGTCAGGCAGCACCCAAATGGTCACCACAATGGATACTTTTACCCTCTTTCAGCCCTTTCACCTGCTGCCAGCTGTAGCCCACACCTGACAGGCACCACAATTCTCACACCATTTTTATTAGTTGCTTTTTAAAAGTAGTAGCATCTTTATACAGCTCTAATCGAGTAGTTAAGGACTTTTTTATATATATTAATAATTTACTAGCTATTTTCAAGCGTTTAAAGGTCTTTAAATTTGGATTTTTAACTTGTTTAGGTTTAAAAGTAGTGGTTTTATCCTTTTAATTTTTTAAGTGCGTTAATGCCCTTTTGCATCTAATAAGCCAGTTTTTAATAGTTTTAAAGCTGGTGTGACGGTGTACAGCCGTATCTACCTGGATAGATGGATGGATCCTGAGTCATTAGGTCACGTGTAGATTAGATAATGAAGGAACGGGACCACTACTTAAAGTGTGTGCCGCGTACAATACCTTGCTGGCTTCACTTTCCTTCCTCACCTTGTTATTTTCGGAATATAACAATATATTCTTACACAACGCCGCAGGCATCGAGACAGCTGGTTTAATGATTGTTAATTGTTATTTTATTGTTTTACGATTTAACGTAGCATCTATAAAATCGGTTTTATTTATAAATGCAGTATAAATTAAGATATTTAACTAAGCGACATATTTATGATAAGTAGCACCTATAAACTTAAGAGGGCCGTTATTAAATAGTTAAAGTTTATAAAAAGTATATAGTTATAAAAAAACTATGTATTATTTAAAAAGCATATTATTATAAATTCATCTTATCATTAAAGTTAACTATATATTGATCGATTTTAAGGGGAATAAAATAAAGAGAACTAAAAGACTTAATATTTGTAAAAGTATAGCTTCCTTGTCTGCTAAAAAATAAAAGTACCGCTTTAAATTCTTTATTTTCTCGTATCTAATTAGGTCAAAAGATGAAAACACCTTTTAGCTACTTTACAGCAATTACGTTATCTGTTTACTTATTATTAGTATATATATAATATAAAAAAGCGACCTGTTTAAACTGTTCAAGAGACTATTACACCCAAAAATCTTTTCTTTTAAATGTAATGCCTGGTGTAAAGGCTTTGCCTGTGGCGGAAATGGCCTTAAAAAACAAGGTCTAGCCGTAGCTTTAAGCGCTCTTTAAAAAAGTCTTGTAGTTTAAACCCTTTTCAAATAAGACCATTAAGCTTTGAATGGATTAGATAATAATTAAAGGCAAGAAAAGATTATTTAAAGGCATTTTTGTATTAAAACCTGTTATAATACTACCTTTATTTACGTTGTAAAAATTTTTTTTTTAAATCTTATAAAAATTAAATTATTAATTAATAAACTTTAACGTAAAGCCGTTAAATCAAGCGGCTTCTTATTTACAGCTAATTTTCATTTTAATTTTTAAATTACACTAAAGCTATCCATTTATTTAGTTCTTTTTAACGGTTTTAATAATGCTATGTAACTTTAAAGTAGCTTAAACAATGACTTTAACGGCGTTATATAATAAAGCAAACTTTAATAACTTTTAATAAAAAACTATTAAGCTAGTCAGGTTTTTACTTTTAAATAGGGTTTTTTTCCGGCTATTAAATCTCTTTTTTTAAGGTTTTGTTATTAATACGGTTTAATAACGTTTGTGTTAGATGTTGGATCCCAGATATGGTGCCCTTAGGTGCAGTACCCACTAGGGAGCTGTCAAGGGAACTGTGACGGCCTGCACAGACCTTCCCACATGACAAGCGGATACTTCCCAATAGGGGAAGGATCTGACCAGAGGATCCCCTTAAAGGGGCAACCTCCCACTGTACCTATCTCTCTCTCTCTCCTCCTTTCCTCTCTAGTCTTGATATTCTCGTCAATACAGTAATAGCTGCTTGCTGCCGGCCATGTCCCAGCTCCCCAGTACGCTCGCCGTGACATAATATCAAGACTTTTCCATACCAGATTAGAAGCCTTTTGATTCTATTGATTGTTCTGCTCTGCGTGCAGAGATTGATCATCTGTCTTCTTGGTGGGTCAGATGCCCTGTGTCTATCTGCCCCACTGGATATCTTCCGGTGTCTATCTCCGGCTCCCATTCAACACATTCGTGCTAGTATCTAACAGTAAGAAAGCCTGTCTGTCGATGTCTCAACCTTAGGGGCAGAGGTGTCACTACTGCATTGCCCCACTTAAAGACCTCAAAACCTCAACCCCTCATTCCCTCACCGCGTCGACTTTTCCTCCTAAGTATCTACCACCGTATCCTGTTATACTAATACACCTTCAGAATCGCATCTCAAAGAAAATCGCCGCAGCATTGCGCGGCGAGCCGGCGTTCGCTCTCTTCTCGAGTCTACCTCCGGAGCAACCAAATATGGCACGACGCGCTACCCGACAAAGTCGGACCAGCCTTGCACCCCTGGAGAACGGGCTGCTGGCCCCCCCGACGCCTGACAGAGTCTGACCAGCAATACGACGCCGTAAACGGGGCGAGCAACCTTCTCTTCGAGTTCCAGCACCGTCTACTTGGTGTGTTTACGTTTGACATACCACTAGTCGTCGTCAACCACGAGGCCCGCAGCGTCGCCCTGGCCTGGGCTCGCGAGCAGGGCATCGAGGTACGCCACGGCGAAGACGGGCAGTACCCGGTCTTGGAGCGTCCCTTTGACCCATTGTGCGACGCACTGTACGTGCCGCACAACAAGTGGGACGAGTTCCTGGGCGAGCCTGTGTTACGGTATTACATAATACCTTCACATATTTATGTACATATATACCACTAGCTTCCCCTCTCTCTTCCGACCTTGCCTCTTCTTCCTTAGATATCGTTGAATCTAGATATTTCATCCCATCAGCCCTGACCAGCGCAGCTGCAGGCCTGATTGTCACAGCTTGATGATCGAATATTCGAGCCAGATCTCCTGGACCAACATGTCAGTGTTGAACACAGCATCACGCGTATCGCTATAACGCAGGCGCTGCTGAAGAGTGAGATGGACACTCTACCCGAGATATTCCAGTACTACTTCTCCACGAGAGCGCTTTTTATCGTCGTCGGTACGCCGCCGGACTCGGACCAGGACGTGCAGCGAGGGTGGGACTTCAAAAGCACGCAGGAAGGTGCGTTCTTATGGGATCCCGACCGTGCCGCCTTTGACTTTAAGGGTGGCGAGTACATCAGCGGCGCCCTGTACAAGCTTATGGATGAGGCAGCGCAGATGCTTTCTGGAGCGATGGCCGAATGGCAAGTTCGCAGCTTTGAGATTAGGCCTGTGATCGCTGCCACAGGATGAACCGATTGTGTCTTTTCTGTGGTTATTCTGGAGTAGCACGCTGTTGACCCTGTATCTGTGGTCTGCGTGGTGACTTCTGTGCCCGTCTTTCAAAGATCCCAGCCGAGGGGTCAGTAAAGATGCAATAGCTGAGCACGCGATATCTTGCTCTTCCCTACCCGACACGTGCAGCTGTGAAAGTCGTGGTCATAAGGTCAGGGGTTAGGGGTTCAGGGTATGAGGGTGGATCGGTACAACCTCGGGAGAATGCATGGAAGCGCTCAACGTCGTCATTGACAGCGATACGGCTTATCTCCGTCGGCGGTCTTCTGGTCGCCACTCCCAAACTCCCTCACATATATTTCCATTCCTTGACCCCTTCGATTTCTTAGACGATGACTTTCGTCGGGTCCCTGTCTCTTTTGGAAGACCATGATTAGAAAAATCGCATTCCCCTCTGTTTGCGCTCAATGCGCACGGAACAGTAGCGTTCGACCCACGACCTTGGGCCTCGATGGCCTCGGGAAACGATACACAACCAGCGTCACGAAGACGCAACCGAGCAACGACTCCAACAATGATTCCAAGGACGCCGAAGATGCCAATACGAAGTCCGAACCGGGGCCTTTGACCCGCCGTCTCGAAGAAGCGACCGAAGAAGCCTTATTGACAGGCGGGAGGGCTGGACGCCGTGCTGTCGAAGATGCCGGGTTTTCGGAGGAGCTTAAAGAACGTCTATTCGCGAAAGTCAAGGATGCGCAATTTCGATCCGAGAACGCGACCGCCTTCGCGGAGGCAGGGATGCCCACATCAGCTGGCGTTGGCACCCGACTCGCGGCGACAAGTCAGCCATGGACTGGCGAAGAAACCACCGAAGATGCCGTCCTCCGAATGCTGAACGATGCGCACAAACCCCTCAACCGAGAGCTCCGTGGCCGACCCAAGCTGCCTGACCTTCAGCCTGTCGATATGCGGATAAGACAACAGCCGAAAGTGAGCGCGGGTCACAGAGCCGCAAGCGCAAGAGATAAAGCCTCCGTGTATGCTGGCCTGGGGATGAAGGAGTTAGAAAAGGGCCTGAGCGATAAAGAGAAAGAAGCCAGAAGACAACACTTCTGTGATCGCTTCCAACCGGCTGCTCGCGCTGTTCCAAACACCTTGACGGGCCTGGCTTCCCTCGCGAACGAACGCATAGAAGACGCGATTGCGCGAGGACAGTTCAAGAACATCCCGAGAGGGAAGGGCGTCGAGCGCGATACGAGAAGCGACAACCCCTTCGTCGATACGACCGAGTACATCATGAACAAGATGATCAAACGGCAGGAAATTGTCCCGCCGTGGATCGAAAAGCAGCAAGAGATGGCGAAGGCAGCCCATGTGTTCCGGGCCCGGTTGCGGAACGACTGGAAACGTCACGCCGCCCGGATGATCTCAAGTGAGGGTGGCTCTCTTCAGCAGCAGATGGAACGCGCGCGTAGATATGCGAAAGCCGAAGAGCTGCATAACCCGCGTAAACGCAATATCGACGAGGTCGCGGTGCCCACCAACTCGACCGACGATATCGTCATGGTGAAGATACGGCAGCAGACGGGACTGGAGTCAGCACTGGCCGAGTCAGAGGCGAAAGCCGGCGATGAAACCCCTGCGTCTAACGAACTATTACCACCCCCATTCCGAGACCCCGAGTGGCTGTCTATGGAACAATCATACATGGATCTCTCGATCAACCACCTCAACACACTTACGCGTTCGTACAACTTGATGGCCCCCGAGCTGGCGAAGAAGGGGTACTTCTCTCTCGAGCGAGAACTGAAGAACTGCTATGCTGATGTCGCGCCCCTGCTCGCGGACACCATCAAGGACAGGGCTTCTAGACCGCCAAAGCCCCTTGGGGAAGGCATAGGGGACCGGCCGGGCAGTGTCCTGGATCGGTTTGGGAGAGGCGGCCATACGGCAAAGGTCTACGACTCCAGGGCGCCTCACTATGGGTTCAAGGAGATGTGGCGGGATCTCTTCGGTAAGCAGGCTAGTTGAGTGTAATAGATACTCTGTGATGGAGCTTTCAATGTTCAACATGCACCCAAACTGTCGCTTGGGGATCCTCGTAGAACAGTGGCCCTGCTGCCGCTAGAGTGTGTATTTGCGAACTGTCACTAAAACGGCCGTATGTGTTCATCATCTGCCCGCCTCTGTTGCGGATTTGCGTATGAACACAAACGGTCGAGTCATGGCTAGTGACGCTTCCCATGTGCTTCCCCAGGATCAACGCGCCAGATTAGCGTCGTGACAAGAAGGTTAAGCGGTAGCATGCGGACGGTTCGGACAAAAGGAGAGAGGAAACATTCCTCGGACCGAGCCATGCCAGGCACCCGACCCTCTTCCCCGGCCACCCCGGTTTGCTAGAATGGTCCCACCGATGCCGGCGTCTGTCACGATGCCGTCATAACAGCTTGCGAGGGTTTCGTTGGAAAAATCGATTGTTCATTCAGATATTCCTCTCTTGGACTGAACTATAGACTTAATATCACGCATATAAACAGTGAATCATCTTCATTGGTATAGACTTTTGGTAAGACATGACAGCCGAATCGTCGGTCTACCGGTATTACATCAAGTAGGAAAGCTCCTAGTCGTGCCACCAATGAGATATTATGGGGACGGCGACGGCGTAGGCTCGGCGTCCCACACGAGCTCCAAAGCTGGAACGCTGGAACTGTATCAACATGACACAGCCTCAGCTCTCTCTTTCCAATTCACTTTCCGACTTCTCATCTTCTCTTCTGTTGACTGGCCAAACTCATCCTAATCATAACTTCAGCTACCAGATTGACCCCCCGGCTGTCTGTCCTTTACCACTGATGCTGCGAGTTCGCTGATTGACAGCTTACGGCCGTCTCATCTCATCAACCCACTGGACCCCTCATACCTCCCTGCTCGACTTGTGACATCATAATCATGGCATCGCCAGTGGCCTCCGCGGCGCTCAAATCGCGAATTCGACGGCCGTCGATGCTGAAGAAGCTGTGTAATCCATCCGATCTGCTGCATCACTTCCCCAATGGCGCATACATCGGCTGGTCCGGGTTCACCGGAGTTGGCTACCCAAAGTATGTGGTCCGACTCGCAATATTTGGTGGGGCAGCAGCACTCTGACATTTATGTGTAGAAAAATGCCCACGTTCCTAGCGGATCACGTCGAGCAGAACAATCTGCAGGGAAAGCTGCGCTACTCGCTGTTTGTGGGCGCGTCATCTGGCGCCGAGACGGAAAACCGATGGGCCGGCTTGGATATGATTGAGAGGCGAAGCCCTCATCAGGTCGGAAAGTCGATCGCGAAGGGTATCAATGACGGCAGGATCAACTTCTTCGATAAGCATCTATCGATGTTTCCTGTGGACTTAGTTTATGTGAGTTGACGACGTCATTTACCCGCTGCTGTTACGCGATTATGGGTGACCAGGTAAGCAAGATCTAACGCGACTAGGGATTCTACACCAAGGACCGACCGAATAAGAATCTCGATGTTGTGGTAGTGGAGGCCACGGCCATCAAAGAAGATGGCAGCATCGTCCCTGGTGCTTCTGTCGGAGCAACACCTGAACTCATACAAATGGCTGACAAGGTGTGACCGCCCGCTGTCGAGGACGAAATATGCGTGCGCTGACCTGTGTGAAGATTATCATCGAAGTCAACACCGCCATCCCGTCATTCGAGGGTCTTCACGATATCACAATGACGGACCTACCTCCGCGCAGAAAGCCTTATCTGATCATGCAGGTCGAGGACCGAATCGGCACGACGTCAGTCCCGGTCGATCCTGAGAAGATTGTCGGTGTCATCGAGTCCGACTACCAGGACCAGACCGCGCCGAACACGGCTCCAGATGAGGCCTCGCGCGCGATTGCCAACAATCTCATTGAGTTCTTTGAGCACGAGGTGAAGCACGGACGCATGCCCAAGTCCCTGCTCCCCGTCCAGTCCGGCATCGGCAACATCGCCAACGCAGTGATCGGCGGATTGGCCGACTCCAACTTTAAGAACCTCAAAGTCTGGACCGAAGTCATCCAGGACACCTTCCTAGACCTCTTCGACTCGGGCCGTCTGGACTTCGCAACCGCGACTTCCATCCGCTTCTCTCCGGACGGGTTCAAGCGCTTCTACGACAACTGGGAGGCGTACCACAACAAGCTGCTCCTGCGCTCGCAGCAGGTCTCCAACTCGCCCGAGATCATCCGCCGCCTCGGCGTGATCGGCATGAACACGCCTGTCGAAGTCGACATCTACGCGCACGCAAACAGCACTTGTGTCATGGGCAGCCGCATGCTGAACGGGCTGGGCGGATCCGCCGACTTCCTGCGGTCCTCGAAATACAGCATCATGCACACGCCGTCGACGCGGCCGTCGAAGACTGACCCGCTAGGCGTCAGCACGATCGTGCCCATGTGCACGCACGTCGACCAGACGGAGCACGACCTGGACGTGATCGTGACGGAGACGGGCCTGGCCGACGTCCGGGGGCTGAGCCCCAAGGAGCGGGCGCGGGTCATCATCGAGAAGTGCGCCCACGAGGAGTACCGGCCCATTCTGCACGACTACTTCGAGAAGGCCGAGTTTGAGTGCCTGAAGAAGGGCTGGGGACACGAGCCCCATCTGCTGTGGAACAGCTTTGATATGCACAAGGCGCTCAACGAGGAGGGCAGCATGCGGAAGATTAAGAAATGGTAGAGGGGCTCTCGATGGGTGGATAGTCACGCTAGGAGTCAATACCATGGATTTTGGATATGCATGTTTGTGGTAGTCCCGCAATGGTGGTATTCGTGACGAACAAGATGTGAACATATGCTATATCCAACCAACAGCCCTGTGACCTGAATTACCAAGCCACCTCTACCGGCTCATCCTGGACGTTAGCACCAGCCCATCCAGTCGGTGTAGATAGAAGCCTACCTTGCAATGTTCAAGTCTCGGGACGGCCGGGCCCACGGTCATAATCAGCGGTTATGTGGCGGTCCAGAACGGTGCCGGGCTGGGCTTCACCACGTTCGGCACCAATACCGGGCACAATGGGTCGTCCCGGTATAGGCACAGGTCACATCTTAATAGAGTTTCTCCCAGCAGAGACAATAAATCTTATCCTTGACAGTAAACTTAAAAGTCGCTTGCCGAGTTCTTTGAAGTGCTGGAACATCTGTCTCTGCATGAGTTCATCTGCCTATCAGTCCCATATACCCTCTACTAATCCCACTTAACCATCACAACTAAGTCCTGAGCCGTTAGGAACATATTTCACGCAAGCGGTGGTTATTCGTTCCGTTTAAGTTGAATGTTTATGGCAGTAGCTCTGACGAGCCCGAAACCAACTGCCTTCCCATACACAGACAGACAGCATAACCCCATAACGATTAGTTGGTAACCTGACGGCATTGGCGCAAGTGACAAACAGGGAGAAGGCCTGGTGATCAATAAAATATACCATCGGCGCCTTCTTAAAGCAACAGACGGCTCCCAAAAGATCGACTGCTCATCACCGGCACCCCCTCCGGCTACCATTACAACTGCCATTCTCTGATTTCCAGGTCACCTCTCCTTCACAAGCCTCGCCAAGTCCCTCGGCATTAGCGGTTCCTTCTCAAACCCCTCTATCACCTGGTCCAGCATGACAGCAGTGAGATCCCCAAGCGCAATGCTGGGGATGCCAGTGAGCCCCCCCAGCACGGACGACACGACCGATTTCATGATCTCCCCAGGCGCTACGATGAGACCCGGCCTCACGCACGCTGCCTCGACGCCGCCCAGCTCCGTCGCGAGTGCGAGCACCTCGGTCTCGGTCTCTCCCTTCTCAAATGTCAGCTGGCCATGCTCAACCCATTACGAACATTGGAAGTCATCTCATCGCAAAACAGTATGGGGGGCCCGTGGTTCGAGGGGAAGGGGGTGGCTTACCCTCATAAGTGAGTACTCAGGCATGAACCACGGCTTCTTCGCCGGTTCTCGCTCGACCATAGCGCCGCTCATGTAGAGGAAGCGGAACGGCTTCGGCTTCGCCGGGCCGGCATCGTGCATGGCGCGGAGGCCGGTGAGCGCGCTGGTCTGGCAGATGCGCTTGACCTCTTCGAAATCGTACGCTCTGGACTTGGTCGGCGTTACTGCGACGGTCCTGTTGGTCACACTCGTGGTCAGCTAGGCTCGCTCGCCGGATTTTAAAGCGCTGTTATGTCCGGGTGGGAAGCCAACATGAAGATCGACGATCGACGATCGGCGAGCTCAAGGAATGAAGCAAAGGTCACGTAGCAGAGAGTAGTACTACATACCATATGCAAGCCCCAGCATCAGCGAAGTCCCTCTTCACCTCCTCACTATAATCATCGTAGTCCCTCACCACCACGCTCCTCAGCTTGGACGGGTCGGCGCCAGCGTCGAGGTTATCGGGGGCGGAGACTGGCTTGCGCGCCACAGCGACGACCGAGGTGATCTCGTGTCGGCTCAGGCTCTGGCGGATGACTTCCTTGCCGACAAAACCCGTCGCGCCGGCTACGATGAGCTTCATTGTCGTGTTGTCGTGTTGATGCGATGGCTCTGTTCTGCTTGCTTGGTCGCTTGGTGGCTGACGGAGGTGGCTGATGGAAGAACTGGCTCGAATTCGATGTTGGATCAGGTAAGCGGGCTCGGTCTCTATATGTACAGGTAGCAAGGATGGTAATGGTTAGCGCTTCCAGGTTATGGGTCTGAATATAGTAGGTATGATGCTTGTCACTCCCATGCTAAAGACATGCTTAATACTGTAAAAACGTTATGATGGAAAAGTTCCATGAGAAAGTTCCTATCGTGTAAAGTTCTACCTATTACCATTGCAGATACACGTGGACCCGCTAACCATTACCATCCTGGACACCTGTATGCTTCATCCGTTGCCCCAGCCTGGCAGCTAGGGATGGCGGAAGGCTGGCTGACTGGTCGGTAAGACTCTCCGTCGCCGACCATTTGCAAGGTTGGAGCTCCCACGCGTCTTCGAATGGGCCGCGTTCTCGGTGATCAAGTGTGCACGGCTCGGCGATAACCGTTGCATTCCTCCGTGTCCGCCGCTTGTCTCGCAGCGGACGCTTACTGCACCCGTGGCCCACCCATGGACCCGGGCTCTATTTAGTGCCCGTCGTCGTCCACGACCAACGACCGAATGTAGGGTCGACTTCATTCAAAGTCTAAGCAGGTCATGGATATCGGTGTTCATTGAGGTGTATCTATCATCATCGTACATCTATAAAATAAGGCGGTGTTTCCCCCCATCATCCGTGCGGGCAGACAGCTCTCCGGCTGGAAGCCGGATGCCGAAACTGCCTATACCTATCCTGCAACCTTAGCAGTCTAGGTACATGCGCCACTGATTAGTATGGGGCGTTTATTTCACCTGATTCGTAGGTAATTTTCGAGTACTTAACGTTGGCACTAATAGAGCTATGAAGGCAAACATAACGGCGGAGGCATGGAGTTGGGACGGCCCCATAGTTGGGATAGTTTCCTTATTAGAATCTCATTATTATAACCCGGATAATTCGACCGGTTTTAATCGCGTGATAAGATAACTTAAGCGTTCTTTTTTCTTTCCCTTATATATATACATATATTATAACTTCTCACAATAATTCATATCTAAAACAAAAGTTATAATAACACGCAGTTTTACCCTTATTAAAATTTATTAATAAAACTGTTTAAGGCTAGTTTTTTAAACCTTTTGTGAGATTCTAGAAGGGTCATAAGCCTTGGGGGTGTGAGCGGTCGCTGCAAATGTTGTTGTCATTCTCAAGTATGCTTGACAGGGCTAATCTACAGCTAAATACCATACTGCACCATGCTAGGGTGGATCCACTGTTCCCTTGACAGCCCCCTTGTGGGTACTGCACCTAAGGGCACTATATCTGGGATCCAATATTTGACACCCCCCCTTGCCCGAAAGGTGCAATTGCACTCTGAAATCAGCAAAATCACGGTCTATCTATCTATGCTAGACCATGGCAGGCGTGTTACAGCACTCCAAGCCAACAATCTAGTGATCTATTTATCTATCTACTCGAAGTCCTCCAGGCCTAATAGCCATACAAACTCCTTGTAGTTCGCCCCTGAGAGCGCCTTGGTGAATCTATCAGCTGGATTTTCCTCGCTCTTGACGTACTGGGCCTTGATATGGCTAGCATCAGCTTCTTGGCAAGCGTAATGATATGCGATACAGATGTGACGCTTCTGTTTTGACATTTGCGATTCCTTCATCCACGCGATCATGCCATTATTATCTTCTAATAAGGTGATTGGCCCTTCTGGCATCAGGTTGAGCTCTGTGAGGAAGCTCCTAATCCATGCCGCATCTCCTGCTACCTCTGAGAGAGCGATGTATTCAGTCTCAGAGGTGTTCTTTGCTACCACTGTCTGAAATTTGGAATGCCACAGGATAAGAGCGCCAGAAACGAAGAATACAAAGCCTATAACTGATCTTCTGGTATTTGAACAGGTCCCAAAGCTCGAATCCACGGCTCCATGGAGCCCCAGCTTATTGAAACGGCGGTGGGGATGATCCTTTGCCAATCGTCTATATGGTATGGCTCTCTTCCAGGTCCCGTTCATATATTTGGCAACCCTCTTGAGGCACTGATGATAACTCGGGGATGGGTTGCTCATGGATTGTGCCCAGGTCAAAGCCGCAAAAGCTAGATCAGGGCGCGTAATACACACTGGGAAGATGAACTGGGCGAGTGCAGAGGCTTAATCATGGATTTCGTTTGCAGAGGCCTCTCTAGTGTGTTTTGTAGCTTCTTTAGCCGTTGTTGGATTAAGGGGAGAGACTATAGGATTGGTGTGCTGTACACCCAGCTTCTCTGTGACCTTTGTAACATATTGTTCTTGATCAAGCCTCACGTTATTATTGTCAGTGTTCCTGACAATCCGAACGCCCAGGAACCAGTCTGCGGCTCCTTTGTCTGTGATCAGCGCGTCCTCCTTGATGGACTTGGTGAGGTCTATGAGGCGCTGAAGATCAGATCCAAAGAGGAGGAAGTCGTCTACGTATGAGGCGATCACCTCGCATGTAGCACTGTTGAAGTAGATTGCATCATCTGATATCAGGGGCTCGAATCCACGCTTGCTAAGCAGCTTGCGTACTTTCTTTTGACACATCGTACCTGACTGTTTGAGGCCATACAGTGGTCTCAACAGCTCAATGACCTTCTTTTGAGCATAGCGATACAGCCTGGCCTGATCAGGATTGGCCTGGAAATACTCGTACATCATTAGGAACTGCTTCATGAAGATGTGTTCCTGAAGTTCACCGTTCAGGTATGCGGCAATAAAGTCAATCTGGATGATGTGCCATCTTAGTGAAGCCGCAAGCGCCATTAGTATCCTCCATGATATTGAACGTGCTGTAGAAGCCGCGGTTTCATTGTAGTCAATACCCTTACGCTGTGTGAATCCCCTTGCGCAGATCCTGCCCTTGAACTTGTCAAGTTCACTAGTAGATAGGAACTTCTTCTTCAGTACCTATTTTGCGTCGATCAGATGGCCTGTGATAGCCTCGCTAGTGCACTTGAAGCCAAAGGTGCCGCGTTCAAGGCTCTTTTTGATCTCTTTGAAAATAGCTGCAATCCATAGCTTCCTCTCTGGTCCATTTATGGCTTCTTTGAAGGTAGGGTCTGTAGCTGCTTTAGCCTCTATCAACCTGTAGCTAGGCAATAGCATCCTCATATAATACATGGCTGCACTGTGATTGCCAGGGTCGTCCTGATCAAGGTTGAATAGGCACTCTCGCTCGTCTTTGAGGAGCTCCTTTATAATCTGAGTGTTCATCTGATCCATGGTGGTAGCTGTATTATGGAACATAGCCGCTGCGGTGCGCTCCTTTACGAAGTACGTATTGTAATTGAACATTTTAGGATCGAAATAGCCGTCAGAGTCGTCTTGATCAGAGTCAGAAGCAGCTACTGAGCCGCCTTCCTTGTCACTCTCGCCCTCTTGAATTGAAAGCATCTTCAGGTCGCTCTTGATCTCATCGGAGTCAGGGAAGTCAACGCGCAGTTGATACACGTTGTGGTGCTTCTTCTTTGTGCGCCCACGCTTGCGTTTCACAATGTCTTTGTTGTCTATAATCTCTTTTTTAACGATATTAAGATCGCGGTTCTTGATTCTAACTGCTGGTTTTCTCTTCTTCCTAAGCCTCAGTCGCTTCTGCACAGCTGGGGGCAGGGACCTGATGATATCACGAGGATCTGGGGGATCGTCATGTCTGATGTGCTCAAAGAAACGGACATGCAGCATTATCAGATAACGGCTGCCTTTAATCAGCCAGACCTTGTAGTTCTACGTGCCTTGGTAATCAAGAAAGATAGCCTTAGCTCTTTTTGTTTCGAGCTTTTTAGAGGCGATACAAAGGTTCCTATCAATCAGGGCAAAACATCGTGATCCCGGGATCGTGAACTGGTCTGTAGAGACTGAGTACTCGTGAAGGGAGTCTATCCCACTCATATATTCCTTGTACGGAGTGCAATCTTTCAGAGTTGATTAGCCCGTTTGATTCAAGATAGTGATCGTACAGGACGTTGTGCTATCCCAGAAGCAGCTTGGGATGTTCATTTGAAGGCCAGTTGCGCAAGCCTCCTCTATACAGAACTGGATGCTGCGCTCAGAAACACGTTCTGGTACTGGTTGTCTGATGAGGAGATGATCAGTTGAATCCCATCTTCTCTACAGCATGCTTCAAGGCGTGATATGCCCATTTTGCGCCCTCCATCTGCGTAGATGATTCTCATACGGCGAGCCTGGCCGTCAATAGGTGGCATTGCCATGAGCGTAATATTCATCTTAGTGATGTATTCCTCAAGGTGATCAGCAACACCGTGCTTTGTCGGATGGAACGTGGGCCCGCAATAGCGGCTTTTGTCGTCCGTGATGATGTCGAATATCCCGTTCTCTTTCATTGAGATTGGTGTACAGGTGCCTAAATCAATATGTCTGATCTCTCTGACATACTTAGCACACTCGTGTGCTTCTTTGGAGATGAACTTCTTGATCTTTGCGCGCTTATAGGCAGCGCAAGGGATATCAACAATGTCTTCTAGCTTCAGGTCGATCCCTGTGATCATCCTGATCGTTATCCACAGCCTTTCAGTGCTTGAATGACACAGTCGTTAGTGCAAGAGGATGAACTTTCGAAGTAGCTTATCCATCATTCGATAAGTTGTGCCAGAGAGCGAGGTCAAGAGCACCTTGTGTAGCTCCCCAATCTCATGTTTGCCCTCTCACGTGTACCCTTATTGTGATCTGCCTAGATCAGGCTCTCTTTCACCCCATTTCCAGATAAGAAAACCTCTCTTTGGGACATTGAGCTCAGTGGACCAGCTGTTGTCCCAGTTCTTCAGCAGGTTGCCCTCCAGATAGCCCCTATGCTGGTAGAAGAGATCTCCTGACCAGATCTTGATTGGGAAGTCTCTTATATACAGAGCATACCATAATCTCACGTTGAGTGCTTTATCCTCTGGTGATCGCACTTGTTGGACAGCAGTG